TTCGAACCTTGATATGCCAAGGTCGAGTCCGAACCTTGAGATGACATCTACTTAACAAGGTCGAGCTCGAACCTTCAAACAACAAATTTGGGAGCTCCTCAGAAGCCCCTTCGCTCTTACATCACTCGGTGCTTGGGGGGCAAGTGTACTGGCCAGCCAAGTTGCCGACTTGTCCCTCACCAATCCATTGACTCAATCAAAGGTTTACCAGCCTGACCAAGCAGTAAACCCATCATTTCCGAGTTCCTCAGCTCGGCCATGAAACATGGACATCGAAATACCACATCGGCCCAAAGAGGACACATCATGAAACAGATAAAAATACAATCTTGTTACCATGCCGCCTACACGTTCTCGAGAACGAGGCGACAGTTGCAACACAAGGCATCTTGACAGGCAAGCATGCGCGAAAGGTTACTCCCCTCCAGCGAGCTCGGTCTTAACTCCTCGACCTATGATCTTTGGAGCTCGGGGGGCTAGTGTACTGTCCGTGTTGTGAAGCCGAGCTCCGAGCTCGACATCACAACGCAAGATGACCTCGAGCACGCGCTACGCGACGTCAGCTCGACATTTAAGTAGATAATAACTAATCTCAAGGGATCTCGCTCCAGACGAGATCCCTTATCTAATCTTATCATATCTTATCTCAAGGTCTTATCATATCTTATCTCAAGATCTTATCATATCTTATCTCAAGATCTTATCATATCTTATCTCAAGATTGGTGGCAAAGGGATATACTCAGGTTTACGGCCTCGACTATAGTGACACTTTCTCTCCTGTGGCCAAGCTTCCTACTGTTCGTCTCTTTCTTGCTATGGCAGCTATTCGTCATTGGCCTCTCCACCAATTAGACATTAAAAATGCCTTCCTTCATGGTGAGTTGGAGGAGGAAATTTACATGGAGCAACCTCCTGGATTTGTTGCTCAGGGGGAGTCTGGTTTAGTTTGTAAATTGCGAAGATCTCTTTATGGCCTCAAACAATCTCCTCGAGCTTGGTTTGGAAAATTTAGTCATGTTGTACAAGACTTTGGGCTTAAAAGAAGTGAAGCAGACCACTCAGTTTTCTACTGTCATACTTCACCTGGGAGATGTGTTTATTTGATTGTTTATGTCGATGACATAGTGATTACAGGAAACGATGTATCTACAATCTCTCAATTGAAGAAACATTTGTTTAACCATTTTCAGACCAAAGATTTGGGACCTCTAAAATATTTTCTTGGTATCGAGGTTGCCCAATCAAAGGAAGGCATTGTGATCTCTCAAAGGAAGTATGCTTTGGACATTTTAGAGGAAACAGGCATGACTGATTGCAGACCCATTGATAGTCCTATGGATCCTAACCAAAAACTAATGACTAATCAAGGTGAACCGTTTGCAGATCCAGAAAGGTATAGGAGATTGGTTGGAAAACTCATTTACCTTACAATTACAAGACCTGATCTCTCTTTTGCAGTGGGGATTGTTAGTCAGTTTATGCAGGCTCCTCATATCGATCATTGGAATGCTGTTTTGCGTATTCTTAGATATATCAAAAAGGCTCCAGGACAAGGATTACTGTATGAGGATAAAGGAGACAGTAGGATTTCTGGATACTGTGATGCTGATTGGGCAGGATGTCCCATAGACCGACGTTCCACTACTGGTTACTGTGTATTCCTAGGTGGAAATCTCATATCTTGGAAGAGTAAAAAGCAAAATGTTGTTGCCCGATCTAGTGCTGAGGCTGAATATCGTGCTATGGCCTTAATTACTTGTGAGCTTATGTGGATTAAGCAACTTCTTCAAGAGTTAAATTTTTGTGAAGGCCATCCAATGAAATTGTATTGTGATAATCAGGCTGCGCTCCACATTGCTTCCAATCCAGTATTTCATGAGAGAACCAAACATATAGAAGTTGACTGTCATTTTGTTAGAGAAAAGTTGCTGTCTAAGGAAATTGTCACTGAATTTGTCACATCCAATGAACAACTTGCAGATGTTATGACTAAGTCATTGAGGGGGCCTCGCATTCAGTTTTTATGTTCCAAGCTTGGTGCATACAATCTATATGCTCCAGCTTGAGGGGGAGTGTTAGAATAGCTTATTAGAGTAGCCTTTGTATTCTGTTATTTCTTCTTTTGATATATGTCTGATGTGTGTCTTAGACTCCTAGGGTTTTACATACTTTATGTACTCAATGTTATATAAATAATGAAAAAGGAAAGATGTGTGTAACACACACACTATTTTTCTCAAACCCTAATATTCAAGTATATCCAATGTCTTATCCTCCATGTTAATCCTTATCATAAAAGTGAACTACACAGGAACTAGAAATCATGTTTTTAAGGGGTGCATGCTGTAAAGCATGTTTGGTTTAGCTTAATTTTTAGAAAAACAAAAAAATGATCTATCCCTAAAGCTTTCTCAGTATAACATTCTGATGACATGCTATTTTGAACCCAATAATATAATTCAACACTTGAGTAACGAATTTAAACATACAATTTTTAAATCACATTGAGCACTGTAATAGAAATAATGTGAAGTTAACATAAGTCCATATCATCTTTGCATTATTACCAAGTCCATTCTAAATATTCCAGTCCCAGTATTCAGCACTAGGTAGTAGAAGCAGTCTTTTCCTTAGTATAATTCAATGAAGGGCAGCTCAAGTCTTAACCAAGCAAATGAAATCAAATTTTCTAAGCCAGATGCACTTGCCAATAATAGTCATAATTAACTTAATAAATAAAATATGATGTAGGGAACATTTAAAAGAATAGGGAACGCGTCGAGTACCTCCTCCACAGTCTTTCCTGTGATTTCAGATGGCAATTTTGGTGCAGCAGCAACTGTAGTGCTGACACTTGAAGTAGTTCTACAGGACAGGCAGAAAAGAACATATCAAAAACACCTTCTCATGATTTATTAATGACTCCTTGTGAATTCACAACTTAAAACATAGATAGAAATAATATAAATTGCAGAAGTCAATATGATTTAACAAAGCAGGAAACTAGATAAATTGCAATTGCAAAGAGAAACAAGTCAGATCAGTCCTATAAGTAGCATACTAACAATCTAACAATCAATTGAAAGGTGCAACTTGGGGGCAACAAAGTACACATGACAGTGTAATACTACTCCTAAAACTTAAAACTCTGGGAGAAGAAACAAATAGGGGAAAATTCAGTATGCAAATAAGTGTTCTGTTTTTATATATATATAAAAGTAAAATGTGTATATGTTTTAGAATGAAATTATCCGTAATGCAATATGAATATAACATAATTGTAGATGCATAAACTTGCAACAGAAAATCAAGAATGAGACAGAACATGGAGGTGAACACATAAAGAATAAAGAAATATTTTAACTACATTTACTAAACGGAAATAATTTAATTAGGACCATGTGAAATGTATGCATACCCACTAGTGGAAGCCACAACAACAGCAGTTGATGTCTGAGTAGCACCAGTACTGGAACTCAAAATTGCTGGAGCAGTAGAGGATGACGTGCTCACCCCTGCCATCAGGTTTGAAAATATTTTGAACATTTTATCAAACAAAAAAAATTACTAGAGAGAAAAGATAAAAGTTTGCAAGGAGGAGGAAAAGTAATTTACAAAGATAAAAGTACAAGGACCAGCATCAGGAGATTCTGCATGTTTTAGATACTGTACCTTTGATTACTAATCAACTTACGAAGTCTAAATAAAATATATTTGGCATCTTAAAGACATTAAAATCTAGCTTCAACTTTAAAAGTTTAAAGTTGATTAATTTGTAGACATGGTAAACAAGAATGGTTAGACAATTTTCTATCCCTATATATGATATTAATAATTGATATAAAACAGCTGCGTCATGCAAGTTGATTAAATCATGTGTTGTGTCCCTACTAAAAGCCCAATGAGATTTTTATTCCATGCTTTAGGGTGTGTGACAAGAGAAAAATAGAGAATTCATTACTGAAACCGTTCTTAGCAGTTTTAACTTTTTATAAAACAGTAAAATACAGAACAAAATACTACCCGAGCTGTGAATTCATGGAGCTCTCTCATCCTCTAGCTCAACAAATATTCCCACAGACAACATGTTAACCTGTTCTTGTTTGAATTCTCTAAAATCAGTAAAATATGGATCAATTTTCACCACATACTGTTTCCAACAAGCCAACAACTCACTGACTATATAGTGCTGTTCACAAAGCAATTGTAGTAATATAGTACCCAACCATACATAATACTACTACTCCAATCAATCAACCTAGATTAGTTTCTGCTTTCATTCTAAAACTGCTCTACAATATTATATGTAGGAAATTTTAGTTTAGCCTTTACCCTGAACCCTAGACACTGGAGAAAAATATGGTCCTTAAGTAGTGACATAAAAAGCCTATTAATAGCGGGAAAACAAGTTGAAATTAGCCCAAAGAAACAACATACCTCGTGAAATCTAGAGTCTTCTGGATTGAAAATATAAGGCAACAGTAAATACTATCATCAAACCTCTATTAAAAGAAGAAAAAAAAATCAAGAAAAAACAGCAGACTACAAACAAATGGACTTTGGTAGTTAACATCTTGCAATATACTTGGGGTTCAGGGATATAAAAACGACCATGTGAGATGCTGATGCCAACTAGTTTCACACTTTTTTATATTGACATTTAGATCGACCAATAAAGTTACTAGAAACTACCATAGGTACACAATCATAAGCACTCCCCCCCCCCCCCCCCCTTTTCCCCAGGGTTCATAACCCAGACAGATATAAAACCAGTGGAACTTACTGCAAGAATCAACAGAAATCCTACCAAAAAAAAAATAACTCTCAAGAAAGGAGAAGACAACTGAAAAACATTTGAAACTTATTTCAGGAGCATACCTAAGCACCTTTTTTTTACATTGAAAAGAAACCATCTACATTTTTGCAAACTTTATCCATGCATCAAACTGATTGAAAGCAAATACCATCATTAGATGTAAACCACCACAGAATCTCCCAACATAACAAGAAAAACAGGCCAGACACCTCAAAGACATAGCAGCAATCATGATTAACATGGATATTTCTAAAAAGATTGAAACGGTGTAACTCACCAAATGCAGAAGTAGTAACACTAGAAACTGCCGGCGTTGATGACTTATTCGCAAAGGCAAACCCAGTCCCAAAAGAAGCAGTGGACGACGTGCTTCCCACGCCAAATCCTGTAAAAGATGATCCTCCACTGGAAGAAGATGCAGCAGGAGCCGCGGAGGCACTCGCAGCAGCAGCAGCAGCAGAAGAAGCCGCGGAAGCACCAAAGGCAGGCACAGACGGCGACAAGGTCGTGCTCCCGGTGCCCACGGTTGAAGCAGTGGTGGTTGTCACCGTTGAGAACAGCGGCGCCGAAGACGTGGTGAACGAAAACGAACCCGGTGCCTTGGACGCCGGTGCGGTAGAAGCCGCGGAAGCAGCTGAAGAAGAAGCTGAAGCCGAACCCGAAGCTACATTGGGGAACCCAAAAGAGGGTTGAGAAGCAGAGGAAGCAGGGGTTCCGAAGGAGAATCCCGACGAGCTAGACGACGTCGTTGTAGTGGTTGGAGCAGATGGCTTTGCAAACGCTGAAAACGACGTCGTTGAGGCCGAGGACGAAGAAGCTCCAGTTGTGGCAAATGCACCTGAGAACAAAGGAGAGCTACTTGCACCTGAAGAAGCCGCCAACGCTGCAAACGGCGTCGTTGCAGCTGAGGATGATCCTCCTCCGAACAACGATGCGGCAGAAGAAGATGCCCCAAAAGCTGGCGTTGAGGCAGAGGGGGTACTACTACCTCCAAACGGCGTCGTTGCAGAAGCTGTTCCACCAAACGAAGAAGACGTCCCTCCGAACAGCGCCGACGCAGGGGACGCCCCACCAAACGGCGTCGTCGAAGTTGAAGTTGAAGACGCTGCACCAAACGGCGTCGTTGAAGCAGATGAGTTTCCACCAAACAGCGTTACTGATGCGGAGGACATTGCGCCAAACGGCCTCGTCGAAGCCGAGGGCGTTCCACTAAATAGAGTCCCTGAAGCTGAGGAGGTACCTCCAAACAGATTCGTTGAAACTGAAGACGTTCCACCGAATGGCGAGGATGAACCTGCTCCAAACGGCGTCGTCGCAGGGGAGGCTGCACCAAACGGCGTCGTTTCGGAGGAGGAAGCAGCGCCGAACAAGGGAGAGGCGGAAGTGGCAGCGGCGAAAATTGAAGGAGCGGTGGCGGACGCGGCGGAGGAGGAAGAAGAGGGAGCAAAGGAGAAATTTAACGGGGAGGGCGAAGAGGCCGCGGCGGAGGTAGGGTTTGTGGTGGTGGTGAAGAGGGAGGGGGAGGATGTGAATGAGAATGGGGAAGAAGAGGAGGAGGAAGAGGATGGGTTTGTGAAGGAAAAGGAAGGTGTGGAAGAAGAGGAAGAGGATCCGAAGGAGAAACCCGACATTGTTGCGCGCTCTCAGTCAGGAGTGTGTCTTTCGTTTTTCAAAAAGAGGGGTTTTCGATTTGTGTCTTTAGGTTTCGGGGTTTTGCTTTGCTTTACTTTACTACACTCATTTCAAACCACCATTTCTTTTCTTTTGCCAGTGTAATAACGCCTACCTCCACGCCTTAAGTTATATTTAGCCTATGTGTTGTTTGAATCCGGTTTAAAATTATGTTAAACAAAAAATACATATATTTTGGTGTAAAAAAAATAAAAACTTATGAATATAATTTTTTTTATTCTAATTCAGTTAATTCCTAAATACACTCAACTTTTTTCCCACAAGAGGTATTTATGCTTCAATGTGAGAGATATGATATTTAATTTTTTTTTTAATAAATATGATCTAGTAGTATTTCAAAATTGACAAATAATAATTCATTTGCAGAGTGTAATTTTTGTCGATAAAGTATTATTCTAAGTAGAGGTCAAGTTTACCATGTAGGAAAAATTATATAAGATTTTCTTTAATATTTGAGTTTTATAAATTTATTCTTGAAAAATTTAGAAAGAGAGTCTAGAGAGAATATTAGGATTACTCTCAATATTAGGATTATTCTCTTATAAGTTCAACCACTCTAGTTTACTTTTACTATATATATATACATATCCATCATTGTATGCATCATTTTTTAGTGATTTAAGAAATAATATTAAGATTTTTTCTTTCAAAGATTCTAGATCTCTCTTTAGAGAAAACCTTTCTTTATGAACTATTATCTAAGAATTCCTCCTAGTGACAAGTTTTTCACATTTTTGTTTATCTTCACTTGAAATAGTGGACTTTCATTCCTTTTCCTCCCATTCTTTTTCGATTCATTTTGAGTTTTAGAGTTTTATGAATAAAGATTGGGAACACATTTGAACTAATTGAAGAGAAACTACCACCATCTCCTCTAACTAATTTCGTAATTATTTACCAATTATATATTAATTTCTTGTTTAAGATTGAGATTTATTTGATACTAATGATCATTATTTTCTTTTTATTAGTTCAGGTTCTACAATGGGAACTATTCTTACCGGAGATCAGTCGTAGAGACGATCCACTAGGCAAGATTGGTGAGCCTCCTTCATTGGTATGCTTGTTGTTCCAAGGTGGGGGTGGTACCTGCAAAAGAGACTCTGATGCTAAAGTTAGTGTTTGTGGGTGTATTGTTCTCGTATAAGTAATGCACGTACCTTTGTGTGAATTAGGGTTTCATTGGGCCTTAGGCCTGAGATCAGTCATGACCTATTTAGATAACGGGCCTTGTCTTGGCCGATGTTGCCTAGCGCGTGTCTGAGGTCGTTTTGCGCTGTGATGCCGAGCTAGAGCTCGGCTTCGCGATACGGATAGTACACTAGCCCCCGAGCCCTAAAGATCGTGGGTCGAGGAGTTAATGTCGAGCTCGACAAGGGGTCATGACTCTTCGCGTATGCTTCTCTATCGTGATGCCATGTGTCATAACCGTCACCTCTTTCACCGAAACGTGTGGGCAGTGTGTTAATGGGAGGTGACGGTTATGTAATGATGGGCACACTTCGTCATAATGGGCCCCATTAATGTGTCGTCAGTTTATGTTCCCCCTCTCTCCACGTGTGACCTTCCCGTTTTAATTTTGGAAAACCCCCCTTTTTTCCCTTTCTCTTCTTCACTTTACTCTTTCCTTTCTTTGGCTTCCCTCACACGCTCTGCTTTCTTTGCCTCTGCTCTTCCTCGTTGTCGTCGTTTCTGGCAATCAGGTCCTCCTTCTCCGTCATTGTTCTATGGTTGTCGAGGAAGTACCAGGTACTTTACCCTGTCTGTCTTCTCTTCTCGTTCTTTCTCTCTACTGGGCTCCTTCTTCTTTTTTCCTCGACTATCCCTTTTTCTCGAGTCTTTTGATTTTTTTGATGGCTGGAGAGAATAGCGCCACACCCTCTGCACCGGCCAAAGGTAAAGGCAAGACGGTGGCCGACGAGGCGGCCGCTGCTGAAAAGAGAAGGGGTGGGAATAACCCTAGGGATTCTTTTCCCGTCATCACTGACTATGAATAGGTCAGAGGTGACGTCGAAGAATTCTAGAGCGTCTTTAAGTTATTTCTAGAGGTTAATGTGATGTGGAGATCGCACAGAATCTGCCAAGCGTCCATTTCTAAGCTCATCCAGCTTGAACCGTGTCAACCCGGTGAGCGTGTGTATATGGGGGTACCACTAATATCCCCTTTTTCTATATGTACCAGTGTTTTTTTAGGGATTTAGGTATGTGCCTTCCCTTCACTCAGTTCGAATGCAATTTTTTGAATTTTATCAACGTGGCTCCTTGCTAGTTGCACCCTAATAATTGGGATTTTTTGATGGCTTTTCAAGTCTTGTGCTCGGCCCTGGGAATAGGGTTGTCACTTCCTGTTTTCCTCCATTTCTACCAACTCAAGTTGGGCGAGCCTCCCCTGGGATGGGTTTCCTTGAATGGGAGTAAGGTTGGGGGGTTATTTTCTCTTTACTCCCAATCGTACAAGAGCTTCAAGAAGGTGTTCTTCCGAGTTCTGCCTAAAGAGGCTGACCCGTTGAAGGATGAAGTATTCCACTTCGGCGGGTTGTCGAGGTTCCCTCTCTACTGGCAGCAGAATCCGATTAAGTTCAACGGGTCAGGTGGTCTTCAACTGATAGATTCGGATACGGCTGCCATCACCAACCAAGTCGCACTCCCTCGTCCCCTGGATTGCAAGCTCATCCTATCGCTTGCCAACTTGGCGGACAAAGAGAGGGGTTTAGAGAGTGAGTACTTTGTCCCCTTAGTTGTTAGGTCCTTTCCCTTTTTTCTTTTTCTTATGTGCTTGGCTTCTGTGCTTGCAGGTATAATGGGGAGGAGCAAGTGGCGAGAGCTGAAAGCCCGCTACAATGTTGCCGAGATCGAGGTCCCCGACCCTCTCGAGGAGGAGGTCGCTCCCCTAGAAACCCGCAGAAAAAGAAAGAGGGGAGAGAAAGAGGTCGCGGTGACCTCTGTCCCTCAAGATGCTAAAGAGGTGACTTAGAAGGATGTTGATGCCAACGCAGTTGACCTAATCGGAAGTCCTCCTCCTGAGGGATCATCCCGAGCCGCCGTGGAGGAGGTCGCTCGTGAGGCGCAGGTTTGTATTTCTCTTCTTTCTGTTTTTATTCCACGTTGTGTGATTTTCTTGTTTAATAACTTGGGGAAAATCTTTGTTTTGTGTTGCGTGCAGGTGGGGCCTGTGCCAACCACTAACGAGGCGCGGGTGGAACCGATCTCGGAGGCGCCAAGGCTGGACGCTTCAGCTACTACGCAGGCGGCGCCTACCTCAACTTCCACCGAGGTCTGCGGAGAAGGGTCAAGTGCTGAGGCGCCATCATCAACTCCTGCGACCGTTGTGCCGCCTCCACCCCCGGCAGGGGCTCCGAAGGGGAAGTGCATCGTACATCATTTCGATGTTAAACGCCCCTTGGCGAGGCTGGACCACGTGAGTATGTCGTCAGACGTGGACTCAATGTGGAGCTCGGGGGTGACCGCCCCGGCCGACAAGGCAATTATCGAGAAGGTCGGGGCAGTGGAGGGATTGGACTCTGTGTAGGTATTCACGCAGAGGTCAATCACCATCGTTGACCATTGGAAGCGTAAGTGGTCGAAGCTGTAGGGGGATCTCGAGAGCGCCAGGAGCCGAGTTCAGCCTTTGGAAGAGGAAAACCGGGCTTTGGGGGCCGCTCTAGGCGAGGCCAAAAGGCATAATGAGGCCGAGCTACAAGCCACAAGAAGGGATCTTGTGAGAGCTCAAAAGTCTTTGGAGATTGCTCTGAAGGCTAATGAGGTTTATGCTACCCAAGTGGGCAAGCTGCAGGAGCTTGCCACTTCTTCTCGGGACCGAGCGCGCTCCCTGGAGGATGAGGTCTCGTCGCTGAAGGCTGACCTGGCGGAAGTGGCCGAGAAGCGTCTCTGCGACGAGATGCTTCTCGGTGGTAAGGAGGAGGAGGTCGCAACTTTGAGGGCGGACCTGGAGAAGATGGCCGAGGCTAAGGTTGGTCTAGAGAGGAAGCTTGTTGAGACCGAGCGAGCCGTCTTACTGGAGCACAAGAAGGGCTTTATCAAATCAGCTCGTCAGGCGAGGTTGCTTGCACCCGGGGTCAACCTCTCTGCTATGCACATAGAGAAAGAGGTGCAAGCAGGGCAGCTGGTGAAGGAAGACGACCTCCCTGACAGCTCGAGCAAGAATACCACTGCCTAGGCCGCTATTTTTGTAATGGCTTAGTTCATGTAATTTATTTTTCTTGCTTCCTGAACTTTTGCTTTGTGCTGACAAACTTGTTGTGTATATATTATTTTTTTGAGTTTTCATCTGTCGTTGTTGATGGTTCTATTTTGACCTTTGATTTTTCGCTGAGGATTGAATTCGGTTTTAGGCTTAGTTGTCGCCTGTTTCTGAGTTTCGTAACGCGTTCAAAATTTGTTTTGTATTTTGCGCTTTTTGGAAGAGGTATCTTGCATCAAGGTTCGGATCCGACCTTGGCTTAAGGTAAAGTGATTCGTACCAAGGTTCGAATTCGACCTTGGCTTAACATAAAGTAATTCGTACCAAGGTTCGAATTCGACCTTGGCTTAACATAAAATAATTCGTACCAAGGTTCGAATGACCTTGGCTTAACATAAAATAATTCGTACCAAGGTTCAAATTCAACCTTGGCTTAACATAAAATAATTCGTACCAAGGTTCGAATTCGACCTTGGCTTAACATAAAGTAATTCGTACCAAGGTTCGAATTCGACCTTGGCTTAACATAAAATAATTCGTACCAAGGTTCGAATTCGACCTTGGCTTAACATAAAGTTATTCGTACCAAGGTTCGAATTCGACCCTGGCTTAACATAAAGTAGTGCGTACCAAGGTTCGAATTCAACCTTGGCCTAACATAAAGTTGTGCGTACCAAGGTTCGAATTCGACCTTGACCTAACATATAGTAATTCGTACCAAGGTTCGAATTTGACCTTGGCTTAACAGGGTATAATTTGTGCCAAAGCAGTGTAAGATTGAGAAGCTATGCATGGAATGAGTCATTTTATTAATGTCGTGGGTGTGCCTCGTTAAAAACCCTCTCAGCCAAAACCCATTTTTCTG